TCCTCTATTTTATAGTCATACTAGGATTCCAATTTAAAAAGACAAATAGGACTGTCCTGCTTTATTGAATGGGATGCCTGTACTTGAGGTAGCTATGGCAAAGTATATTCCTATAGTGGAGTAATTTAACTGGTTACATCATCATGAAGGAACTTTCATAGTTGAGATGAGAAGCCTTGTACTTCATAAAAGTCTGGAACAGTGCTGGCAACACTTAATTATTCAGAGCCACCCTTCCACATTAATCTAAATATGAAGAGATTATTGTGCTTTCTGTAGAAAAACACCTCTGTCCTCTCAAGTGCTTTGCAGAAATTCTGAGTCACAATAACCTTCTCGTCCAGAGTCCCACAAGGCATCAGCACCAGAGATGGGAATAAAGTTCAGAATCCCAACCTGTAACCTTTCCTGCACTTACTGGGGATCACGCTTCCTCCCAAGGAGGAAGTTTATTCTACTGTTATAAAATAACACTGAGCTAAGGAAACAGGTAAGGAATAAAAATAAATCATGGAAAGTAGGAATGACAAAATTGAACAACGGTGGTTGTATAATGTTCAGAAGAAGAAAAAATATGTTAGTTTGATCTCAGTTGACTAAAGGACTCCTATACTTCTACTGCAAAATTAACAAAGCTTTAAACACACGATCAAGTTGAACAAGTTATCAGCACAAGCATGGAAAACTCACTTTGCCCATGACAAATGCAAAACAGCTTGGTTTAGCACATTTCTCTTTCGTCTGGGACTAAACTGTTACACTTTCAGGGCAGAAAGAGACAAGCTAGTTTTGAGCTTCTGTTTGTAGCACAGTATTTTTCTTAACTGTGGTAACTTGACTTCACGTCAAATCCCCTAACTCTGCTAAGAACATAAGGCTAATGGGATAAGGGGAAGTGAAAAAGCATTTCCTTGCCAAATGGTTTCTTAACAGGCTTGAAAATTATGGTGACAACCATGTAAAAAGCTTTTCCACTGCTTGACCAGACTATCATAATTTCTAGCCTTCTATAGCCTAGTACTTCTCCACCTCTTCTTGTCTCCACTTATTAGGTGCACTCCTAATTGCACCTGCCTTTTTAGTTCACTTGGCACCAGCTGTAAAAAAACACTCGCAGTGAATGATAAGCAGATGTAAGACCATTAATGTAACTATGCTTTAGGTAGATATTCAGGGGTTGGAATCTAAAACAATAGAAATCTTCCTACTCACAGAACTCCTGAATTATCTGGCTTGTAAGCAAACATCCTTTGTGCTTTAGGACACTTGCCCTCTGGAGGTGGGACAGCAATGGCTTTCTATAACGCTTCAGCTGAGGCTTTTAGTTGGCAAGGCAGTTTGTAGCAGGTCTCCTGACCACAATACCTTTTATAGGTGTAATGCCAATGGGACACACTGTACCCTTCATTTTGAACTTCAGTGGAGTGCGTATGGCTAAACTCTGTCTATTTTGGTGCTTTTTAGGCCCAATTCAAATTTTTAACCAATTTTGGTATCACTAGGACTTTAAGAATGTGCCCGGAGACTTTGCTGAATTGTGGATTTTGGCTTCTCATCAAATAAATATGCTGTAACCACTCACCTGACTCAGTCACAGCTGTAGTGTATGATACTAATCTCCACATTTATTAAACACATGCTCCCTCTGGAGCTGGAGATGATACAGTAACAGCTGTTCTATTCTGGTTCCTTTTTAAGTCATGAGGAAACAAACAAACATATCTCTGGTATAATTCACAGTGTTCACACCTACTAATGCAATTAAGACATACTAAGATAAACAACCATTAAGTTCTCCATATCTTTTACAATCCATTCTCTCTCTCTGTGCTTGCCATCATTATTGTGGGTAAACTATTATTACTGAAATGGGACTCTGCAAAGGGAAATTAAGTTATATGCAAAAATAAATGAGGTAAGTTGTACTGGGTATAGTATCTTCCCAAAAGATACTGAGACTAAACAGAAGAAATCAACAGGCCTATAATGAAGAGAGTGACATAAAGCAAATACTGGAAATGAGGGTTTGTCCTGACTTTAATGTCAGCCTGTCCTCCCGTTGGTATAAAATTCAGATTTCTCTGTGGATCATTAATCCTTTTTGTTCACAGGAAATAATAAGAACACATCTAGATGGCAAGCAAACATTTAATTTGGGACACAAGGGTGATATTAAAAGCCCCTACCACGAACTTCAGTGTGGCTTTTAGTCACAGCTTATGAGTAAGAGCACAGTGGTACAACAGAGCCCCAAAACACTGGGACAGGCACAGTGCATCTCTGGAAGCTGAGGAAATTCACACAGCAGGTGACAATTTTAGGGAGGGTTCTTCATACCCGAAGACACTTCTCCCTTGGCTGGTTAGTGCAAAAAGGGACATATTCCTTCCTCTGCTCAACCCCCAAGAGAATATTCAATGCCCTTTTGCAATTCTGAAACTACCACATCACTTGCATGTGCTGATGAGCGCAAAGCACGTGATAAGCACCAGCCTTGCTGATGGCTGAGGCAGGTGAGCTGGGCCTGCTGACAGGGCATTGCTTAGGCTTCATACTGTTCCTTCCATTCCAAACTCATCCCAACTCCCAGTATGTCCTAAGCACTTTGCAATGCTTCTCCCTTTTTCCCAAGGCACTTGAAAACAGGAGGGAAAGGTGCTAGTGAACTGCATGAAGAACCTTGTGGTTGATTGCTTTAGACTAGCTGAGTCCTTGGAGAGACTTTAGGTAATGTCAAGGACACCGAGATCATGTGACTGCACATGCATTTTTCAGAGACAGAAAAGTAATCCCACTGCAATTAATGGATCTTATTATGCTCAAAGTCAACAGGCTTGCTAAAGGGCTTTGGCAAGTCAGCGTCTTTGTGTTTGGATTGCAATGCTGGCTGTGGTGTGCCTTTGTCCGCTCCAGCCTTGTTTACCAACAGAGCTATAGACACAATCTAGCCCTAGGCACAATTCTGCCTAACTATGTTGATGAGTATTTTTGTGTTCTAACAGTTTCTGTAGCAGCGTTTACAAGTGAGACATATGAAAGTGAGTAAACACAGATAATAAAAAAGCCATTTGCTTTCTCACCATGCATATTTACTATTTGCAGTTCAGTCACCTCTGACAACTGAGAGAGATCATTCCATCTCGTTTCCTTCCTACAGTGTACCAACCCACTGTATTGCTGTGTGGGATCATGACATTACAGTGTAATGTTTGCTGTTATTGTAAATTAGAATTTTATTTTTGAAAAGCTACAACCCATTTGTTCACAAACCACATTGTAATCACCAGCAGGCTATTTGGTAGGTTGCTTGGCTCTTTCAGACCTAAAATAATTTAAGGGTGTTGCTTCAAATTAAACATCCATGTCTTACATGACATTTTCTTTATAAAAAAGTTAACACAAATACATACTTCTCATGCATATTTATTATGTACATACAGCAGTGAACCTTCAAATCCACTCCCTGAGTCCTTCCGGCAAACTAGGAATCCTCTTTGCCATAAAAACTTACCCTTTTCCCTCAATAAATCAATTCCTTAGAAGAAACTTTTGCCTTTAGAGTCTCATTTTTCATTTATTTCATTAGCTTCCATCTCAGATAACTAAATTCTCTTTTGTTACAGCTGGGAATTTTTATAATGTGCAAATTGAAATGATGATTGTATTGCAGTACTCCGCAAGTGGTTTTCATTAAGACTCCAGCTACTACTCCTTGCTCTGTTGGATATCTTTGTGTCAGGGATACTTTACACTGGACAGAAGGTTGAACAATTTATGTTGGAAAGAATGACTAAAAACCTATTGGATAGCAACCTTTAAAATGCACTGGTTCATGGAGCTTAATTGTATGTTCTTGTCATAATAAAAATATCACAATTCCTTAAAACATAATAATCATGTTAAAAAGGGGACCTGTGAATATATTCCAGAGACTCACATTTCTGAAAATCAAAATTACTACTTGTCTTTATGATTCTGTGTAAGTAGACACACAGTGTCAGAAATAAATTTACATTTCTGAGATGCTATATTACAACGTTTTGCTTTCTTGTCAACAGTGATTAATTCAGACTATTTTCAAGTAGGATTTTCTGGTTAATTTTAGTGACTTAAAATAGTTCAGAACCATTTGTGTGGCTTGTTGAAATTTACAGCATGCTTACATTGTTGATCACCAGACTCATCTTGCTACTTTGTCATACTGTATGGCCTATTGGTAAATGAGCTTGCTAGAATATATTCCCATTGCTGCCAGGGTCACCAGAAGTCTGAATGAACACATAAAGAGCCCACTTAATTGCAAAGATTTATAGCTACACTGTTTTCTTTTCTCCCTTTCCACTCAAACTTGTCTTCCATGTCTGACAAGTATAGAAAAAGGGAGACCTGCTTATTCTAGTCAAAATCAGCAGCAGCCAAGGATTATAGTTTTGCAGGGATTCCTTATCACCACTACTAGTGTGTAGGCAACAAAGATGCAGTTTTCTTGTCCACCCCAGACAGGGTGCTGAACCAAAGAAAAATGCTGTGTCAACATAATATCAGCCATCATGAGTCTGCAATGAAGCAATGAATTACACAACTGGCAAAAAAACCATAATCTGTAAAACTTCCAGAATCAACAAGCTGTTCATTTTTATTTAAGATACCATGCTCTCTAAGGTGGAAGACAGGTGAACTACTATACAACAAACAAATGAGAAATTTTTCAGTCTTGGAAACTCAGAAGCAGAAAGCTGCCATTTGAAATCTGCCTCTGCCTGCTCAAAGAGCCTGCTGTTTGAATCAAGTATGATTTCTATGTTAAACCAAAGCCTTTTCCCCTATCCTATTTATTGCTCTGCTACAAGTTTGGGTAGCAGAGAAATCAATCAATTCCAACTAACCAGTGGAATTATTTTGGGAGCTCTGGGAATAAAAAAAATCCCTCCAAACAGTTTCTGCATTTCTGATGGAACACAGTTACTCTAAAGAGCACCATTTACACACTGAAAACTTACCAATGGAGCGATGAATGCAGGTGTGCTGGTTATCACTCAGAAAAAAGCCCTCTTTGCACTGGCATTCATAGCTGCCCATAGTATTTACACAAATCTGCTGGCACCCTCCATTGTTATCCTGACACTCATCAACATCTAGAAGAGAGAAGAAAAAATAAATGCAAGATAATGTACAGATTCAAAATATACATCTAGAAGAGCAAGGAATCCACAAAAAGGCACACTGTAAATTAAGCTAATGAAAACTACCCAAACCCCATCAGAGTTAATCCAAATTAATCCATCTAGCTCTTTTTTCTGCACTCCAGGTTTAAGGTTAACATAAAAAAAACAGTGGGGAGGGGAGTCCAGCTAAGTCTCCATGCATTCTGAGCTGCAAATTGATTTCCAATGCACAATGAATGTTAACGTCCTAAAAAGGCTGTGACCCCATCTGCCAAATGTGGTGTTGCACCCTGTCATTCCCACTCCGCTTGGAAAGACATACTTCAGGCCTACAGTAATTTCTAGCAGGGGTAGCAGGCAAACACAAAGGGCATTACAGGGTGAAAAGAGTCTTTATAGAGTTCTGGTCTTGAACAGAACAGCATGTTTCAATTACTGGAGTCATAACCCCCTACTTTGTCAGTTTGTTTAATGTTGTTTAATGAAAAGAAGGCTTCTTAAATCTAAATGTTCCATGTCTGTATTGTCATTTTAATAGGCAAATATATAAAACCACAAAGGCAGCATTAGCTACTGGCTGTTTTGAGGGTCCCTGCCTACCCCCCATCACCTCTCTTTGGCATAAAAGTTTTTACGCTGTTGTGTTTAACACAGACATATGTTTCAGCATTGGGAAACCACTGCCACTGAAAGATACCTGACCAAAGTTCAACCTTGCAACTCTCCTGTTTTGCTCATAAAAGGTCTATCATACCCATTTTCTGGTTTGCTTTCTTTGGATAAAAGCAGCGTGCAACCTGAAAAATCCATGTTTTCCATTTTTATAGAGAAGCTGCAACCAGTTAGTTACTTCACACTATGTGCCAACACGTCAGCAAATGAGATGGTGTGTGTTTTGCTTTCATTTTATTTTTGGAGAGGAAAAAAAACACAACAAAGCTACATGATCCACAACATTCAAAACCTCAGAAGACCTGGCACAGCTCCTGCAGGAATGAATTCCTCCAGGACTGGCCACAATACCCTAAGGTAAAACCAAGCTTCTTTTGCCAATACTCTTGCAGCCAAGGCCAGGAAGCTCTGAAATGCCGAAGAAGCTCGGTAACTAAAGCAGGGACTCCAGCTAGTTCCAGCAGCTTGCTCAGCTAAGCCTGCTATTGCTGGTTGTGCTGGTGTGCTGCCTGCGCTTCATGTGACAGAAATTGTAGTCCTCTCTCACAAGGAAAAAGAGCTCTAGGGTAATTCCCAGTACCCAGGGAAACCAGGCAGTCTCCTCCTGTCTTGAACTACAATGCAGGTACGGAGACAGTGCTTCTCCTTGTTTTCACTTACCAGGAAACGTTAAGCACTATTGCCTCAAATTTTCTCTATCAAAATCCTCCCCACCCTTAGTTCTTACTCTTTTCCAGATTTGAACCTTTTCATAATCCCATGAGAGCAGTTTGGAAACACAGAGGAAAAAGAGAAGTGACAACTTTCCTTGCCTACTGCAGTATAAGAAAGAAAGATAAATAAGACAACTTTGTGAGACACTTCCTCTCTGAGTCAGCAAGCCTTGCTGCCCTATTAGTGCCAACTCAAACTTGTTTCTTCAAAGCAGCACAGTGGAATCTAGATCCTCCTCTCTGGAAGATGAATTGAATGCTTACTGAAGGAAAAAGTCTTGGTACATTTAAAAAACTCCAAAATTTTGTTACAAAGTACGCAGCTTTGCCAGTGTTCTGTTTATAGTATCATAAAGCAACTTGAACAATTGCCTTCCAGCTCTGATGAATAATCTGAAACAAATGCAATGATTTATAAACATTTGTTTCTGCTCTTGATAGCAAATGTTGGTGATTTACCACTTCCGTAAAGAGACAGCTTAATTTACCACCAAGCCCTCAATCCAAACGCTGGAACAAAAGTTATTACAATTTACCATGAGGGATTTCTTCTAATTGTTTTCAATTACTTGCCTCAAAATTATTTTAATACACATTTATGAAGAGAAGGAGTTAAAGAAAGGGAGCAGCTGGGATCTGCGACTACTGTATCTCTATCTCTATATTACATGTCTTTCAATAAATCTTGGCCTGGTGGCATAGGATTAACATTTTCTTTTCTCAGGCCTCAACCCCACTAGGGCCAAGCTTTTTGGAGGACTTCTTATTACTGCAGTCTTAAAAGGCAGTATTGCTTATTACCCACCATACCAAGCAATCTATTGGACATGGCTGCCCAGAAAATATTTACGGATTTATTTACTTGATAAACTTTCTATCCAATATAGTCACTTTACGATCTATTCTACTCTATTCTAATTGTATCACCATTACTAACCCAGTTTAGAGAATGGGGTAAAAAAGTCTTCTGAAGTCAGGAGAGAAAATCCCATTTACTCCAATGAGCTCAAGCTTTGGTACATATGTCAGAATAATTTCATCAAGTATCTGAATTTTTTCAAAGCTCACAAATGAAATAGCTGCCAAAGAGGCTTTTTCTTTCTTTCATTGTTTGTGCAACCCTCGTTCAATGCAGTTCAAGTTACCCAGCTGAATGTGTAAACATCAGTAATGCAGCATATGTGAGACTGCATTTTGGACCAGAGTTTCTAGAGATTAAGTTCCACATAAACACCAAAATAACTATCCACATTTTCAATAAAGCTCTTCTGGCTCCAGTTTTGGAGGCTCCACATGTCAAACTGGGCTGCTGACCATTTTGAAAAACTGAGGGTGGATCCTCAGGAGCTTTATTTCTTGCCACTCTGTGTGACAGTTCACACCTGCTGGAGACCTGCAACCCAGGGCCTAACTCTAGACAGAGGAAAAAATTCACTTATGATGTGAAATCCCTCCACTCAAATGTCTAGTCTCAACCCCATTTTAAAAACTTCTAAATTTATTGAGCACAAACACAAAGCTCACTTTCTTTATTACTCCACTCTTTATAAAAATGGTTTATTTTTTTTTTTTAGAGCAAACAGACGTGTCTTCTTTGGCAACCTTTTGCACAAAATCAGCTACTACTGATCATCTTCTCCAGGGCCAGGATTGTCTCCCTGAGGATGGCGGTCCCAAGGCAGAAAGTGTAGCTCTCCCTTCCTTTAAACTTGTGTATGGAATCCACCCAAATCCATTTCCTGGGTTCCCTATCTGGCAGAAGTTCTTTCATCCAGCTTGGCCTCTCCACCTGACAGTGTGCTGATTACCAGAGAACATGATCCACTGCTTACGGAAGAGCTGCACCTCTGCTGATGATCCCAGGGTGGAAGCTGGAGCAAGGTTTCAGCAAACCCACACAATCCAAACTCACAAAAAGATGGAAAAAGGTTCTCACCTGAGCTGAGCTCAGATGTTTGTCCTGCATTGCTGCTCCAGTTCTCATCCTCAAAAAGAGGAGGAAACACTAGGAAAAAGTGAATATATGTCCTTAAGCCATTCTCTGTAATATTCATCACAAAGAATTGTCCTGTGATTGTGTCTACTAAAGACAATTCCTGATGGATGCATCTAGAAATAACTCAGTTTCCCCAGTCTTTAACTACTCCTTACCAGTACAAACAGCTAAGATGTCAAACAGCACAAGAGCTAGAATCGCTCACACAGAGTTTAGACCAAAGTGACAAACCTATGTTACCAGGGAGATGAGGGCCTGGACTCCAAATTGTCCAGTCATCATCAGGGACAACAAAGAATATGGGAAGAACCAGCTCAGGGAGAGGCTGGGAAAGGAGAAGTATCTTTCAAAAAAGAAAGATAATGGATGCATACATACATAGATACACAGATATATCTATCTCTCAGAAACATTATGCAAATTAATGCATATCTGAATTTGCATAAGACCTCTAGCTTTTTGGCCCACTGCCTTCACATAATCAAACTTGTGTTTTGTATCTTGATGAGACCCTCTAGAGACTGGTAGTGTGGAACAGTATCAAAGGGTAGGAAACATTACAGCTGATAAAGATGGATGTTTTATTCATTAAATAAACACATGCTTTTGGTCTCTCATTTAATTTATCTGATGAACTTTTCAAACTAGCTCCACTGGTATTTCACCCTGATCTGGCTCTGAGCTTCCCGCAGTATTTGGCCTAAATAAGTAATTCTGATCACGTGTCCTGTTTGGATACCACTGAGGGAGAAAGGTCTGCTAAGGGTACCTGAAACCAAAACCACAAGCAGGAAGACACAAAAGTGGTAACGCTACACAGAGTCAATGTCATGAACAGTATGTCCACTGTCCACTTCCTCCCACAATCTTCTCTTCCTTCCTTCTGACATTTTTCTTTCATGTCAGCGTTTTCATAAGTACTTAAGCCCCTCAGAAATCTGTGTCTCATCTTCAAAGTCTCCAAAGCATTTGGGAGCCGCAGTACAATTCACTTACTATAGCATTAAGATTATTCGGAGACTTCTAAAAACAGGTCTTTGACTTCTGATCCAGGGAGATGATCTTGCTAGTTTTTCCTTTAAGCTACTCTCTGAAACTTCTGGAAGATTTCTTCCTAAGATTCCTATTGATATGATCTCTATGATAGAGAGATGAACTACAGATAGCAATACTGCAGACTTTCCTCAAATGTTAGCAACAAAACACTACTGGGGGTATCTCGTATATGCAAGAGAAATTATTAGCAACTGCAAACTCAGTGCTTGACTCTGAAATTTTAAAATCATTATATTCTGACTATTTCTAGTCAGAAAGCTGGCTGAAAATCCCATTTAAAAAAATCACATTCCTGGATTTACTACAGTCATAGTTGTTCTCATATCAAAAGAACACTTAGCCCAGCATCCTCTCTTTGACACTGTTCTGTAGTTGATACTCAGGAGAAGACTGTAGAGATGGGACAGAGCCATTGCTGGCGTGCTCTCCCAGCTTCCAGCAGTCATGTACCTATTAACCTTTCTAAATCACTCAGTAGACCATTGTCCTGCTGGATCTTTCCTGTGTGTAGTTGTTTAATCTCTTCTGAACCC